CTCCTATGCCGTGGCAACCGAGGGAAGGGGAGTGACGTGAGACACACCTGACGGGGCAAGACGGGGAGCACGAGCTACCGGGGGAGTGGGGACTTGGAACAAGGGTGAGGTGACGGCAAAACACAAAGGAAAGTCCAAAACACTCCGTAACACAATTTTGGAGTGTTTTGGTGTCCAAAAAACTTTGTTTTGGACTTTCCTTGCGTAAATCGTTTTCTGTTGCGTTGAATGTTCCGTCACCGTCATCGCATCTCTAGAATCCTCACCATACTTCTAGGTCATGTTCCTACGGACGGTTCCACTCATTTCTAGAGCTCTCTTAGAAGGTCCTAGTTATCCCTCCCAAGAGATCTAGTAGGTATAAATAGGATTGACTCTTTGCTTGTCGACGTTCAATTCTTGAGTAGTATCATTCAAGCTTTCGCTAAATCCTATACGTGTGATAGCCTCGGTACAAACCGCATACTGCTCGTGCCGAGGGAACATAGTGGTGACACAAAGGTCCTGAAGGCAGCCGACACCAAATAGGTTCCTAGAGAACGAGGGAATTCTCAGAATAACGCATTGAGTAGAATGGAAGGTACGGGGTGGCTTTGTGCTAGTGAGTGGTTCTCTCTAAGAGCATGAAACCAGACCAAGCAGTGCACAGTGCCCCTGATGATCTTTAGGCGCAAGCGCCTTAGTGAAGATATCAGCTGTGTTGGCACTGGAGGCCAAGTGAACTACGCGGGCCTGGCGTCCCTGCTATAGCTCGAGCAGGAGGAAGTACCGTAGCTGGATGTGCTTTGCTCTGCCCTCCATTCGAGGCTCGTGTCATAGGAGGATCATGGCCCTGTTGTCAGCGTACAGGACCGGGGCAGATCTTGGCCGTTCACATAAGTCTATGAGCAAGAAAGTCAGCCAGCGGACCTCCTGTGCCGCCATGGCATAAGCGTAGATCTCAGCCTCACAGCTGGTCAGGGCAACAAACGATGAGCGGGTGGACTTCCACGAGATGGCGTCTGCACCAAGGCTAAAGCAGTAGCCCTGGGAGGACCTGAGAGTCTCTGTGTCATCCGCCCACGAAGCGTCCTCTAGCCTACGTCCTCCTAGCACTAGCCCCATGCCCGATGTACTTGCTAGATAACGCAAAACCCTCATAGCGACTGACCAGTAATGTGGTCGGTGTCCGCCTGTCGCCACAAAGCGAGCCAGGATGCTGAGAGGGTATGCGAGATCTGGACAAGTGCAAGTCACTAGGTACATGAGGCAATCCACCAACTTTGCTTACAGACCACTAGGCTCTACCGACTCCTCAGGGACTCGAGCCGAGAGTCTGTAATCTATCGGCAGAGGTGTGGGCAGTGCGGAGGAGAACTGAAGGCCGAACCTCTGAAGGACCTGGCGCACCAAGTGTGACTGTGTGAGAGTGATGGTGTGCGCTGCTCTGTCCTTGGAGATCTGCAGGCCAAGGTAGCGGTGCAGCTCTCCTAGGTCAGTGCAGGTCTGTCTTCTCAGCACCTCAGCCTTCACGGAGGCCAGTGCGTCTCTGTCTGTAGTAGCGAAGACCAGGTCGTCTACCAAGACAAGGATGTAGAACAGGGTCTGGCCTGAACGAACGCACATGACGGGAAGAACTCCAGGTCAGATAACGTAGCACGCAACGTGTATCTAACGGGGCGCCTGCCGTTGGCCGTAAAATGGGAGACGGAGAAGCCACTTGGTCCCAGGCGCGAAGGTCCCGGTGAAGCCTGGCGGACGGCGCAGGTAGACCTGCTCATGCCGACTGCCATGGAGAAAGGTTGTAGTGAAGTCGAGGTAGTGCAACTCGTTGTCACACTGTGCTGCTACGTGTAGCAGGGCCCGTAGAGTGGTCATCTTCGGGGTCGGGGCAAAGGGTTTGAAAGAAGTCAACACCCTCGCGCTGACTGAAGCTCTAGCAATATAGCGTGCCTTGAACACTGGCGGCTCTCCAGGAGGGCGTTTCACCTTGAAGAGCCACCGACCATCGACTACGTTCACCCCTGGTGGGGGAACTGCGTTGACGTAGGTGCCGGTGGATCTCCAAGATGCCATCTTTGCGTCCATGGCAGCTATCCACTTAGATGCTTAGGATTTCGAGGACGGGCAGGGTCAGAGACCAGAGCTGTGGCGTAGTCAAGATGGCGGGTAGAGGCGTAGGTGGGCGGTTTGGGGAGGGAAGACCCAGGAGGCAAAGGGCGGACACCGGCGGCGACTGTTGGTGCTGTTCCACGCCGACGCCAGAACCTCCAGCCGTACCATGACTATCTTTGGGACACTCCACGACAGCACTCCCAGGACGAGAACCCTCTCCAGGACCAGTGCGACACCCAAGACCGACCGGACAAGCCATGATAGTACCCCCAGGACTAGCGCCCCCAGAATGAGAACCCTCTCCAATACTGGTGCCACCCCTAGGACCGCTGGGACATGCCACAACAGTACCCCCAGGACTAGCACCCTCCTCAACGCCCGCACCCCTAGAGCTCGCAGACTGCTGTGGCGGCTGTGGCTACGGTTGCGGCGGCGGCGACTGTGGCTGCTGCGGGGGCTGTGACGGCGGCGACGGGGGATGCTCCTACTACGACGATGGCGGCGGCTCCTGCGGCGGCGGCGGAGGAGACACCGGGCGGAGACAGGCGGCGAAAATGGAGCCGCCGGGCCCACAAAGTCACCGAGCCGCGCGGGGCACCATCAGGACCACCACCACAAGCGTCACCAGGCCACCACGTCGGCGGGGGTCCCCACGGTGGCTGCTGCTGTTGCTGCTTCGGGGCACCAGCCTCGGTCGCCTCGTCTGCACCACCGTCCCCACCCCCACCTCCACCACTCCCACCACCCCCACCACCTTTCCCTCCACCACGCCCCCCCTTGTGGCGGCGACCCCTACCTGACGCTGCTGCGCTGAGGCCGCGGCGACGATCTCAGCAGCAGGGGCTATCTCAGCAACTGCGGCAGAAACGTTAGAGTAAGTGCACTGGGAGGGAGCACAACCCTGGAAGATAGGGACTACCGCAGTACCGCTAGACTGAGTGATAGTGCAATGGCAGGTCCCTATCGGGGACAGGGCGGTGACAAAGGCAAGGAGGGTGAGGTCACCTAGGTGTTGACTAAGGAAGTGGTTGCGGGCAGTGGCTAGGCGGTCAGGCAGGCGCGTGACAATGAGGTAAAGGGTAGCGCAGAGCGGCGGCGGGAAGGCAGTGAGCTGTGCCTCAGTGCTAGCGATTCAGTAACTAGCCTCCAGTGCGCGGAGGTGTGTGGCAAGGTCAATGACATTGGGGAAGGACGCAAGGTCAAGGAACAGCATGGGGAGGATCAGGCGGCTGGCAGAGGCAGAGGCAGGGGTGGAATAGCGCGCGATCATGGAATCTAAGTAGTCCTTGGCGTTTGCTACAGCGGTAAAGCTGGGACGCTCGGACAGGGGGAGGGCGTGGCTAATGGCAAGTTGAGCAACAGCGTCCCACGAGTCCCAGAAAGCACAGGCAAGTTCGGCAGCGACAAAAGCCTCACGCTCAGCGGACAGAGAGGGCAGCAGGCGGGGCGGGGCGAGGGAGCTTACCGTCGACATGGGCGAGGGAGCTTACCGTCCTGGCGCTGCCCGGTCAGCTGGAAACGGAGGTCAACGTGCCACGCCCCAAACTCAACGGCCCGACCCTCCGTGTCCAGGAGGAGCAGTGAGTCCGCCATCACCACAGCTGCAGCAGCGGACTGCTGCTGACAAGAGGAGGAGGAAAGGCGGAGGAGGGCGGCGGAGAGCGGTGGAGTGTGGTAGAGTGCAGTGGAGAACGATGGAGAGCGGTGGAGAGCGGTGGACTGCGGTGGACTGCGGTGGACTGCGGTGGAGAGAGGTGGAGTGCGGTGGAGTGCCGTGGAGAGCGGTGGAGACAGCTGGCAGGAGTGCCGGCTCAGAAGGGAGCCAAGGCCGGTAGGTCGGGGCGGCAGAGCGGCACGGCGGCGCAGCGACACGGCGGTGCAGCGATACGGCGTCATGGTGGCATTGCGGCTCGGCGGCTGGACGGCGCGGGGTCGGCGCGGGTTGTGGCCAGCGGGGCTGGTGCTGGTGGAGCTGGGGGCTGGCGAGCTATGAGCCGGCTAGATGGGGACCGGCGAGCTAGGGCCTGGCGAGCGCGGGGCCAGCGAGCTAGGGGCCAGCGAGTGCGGGATTGGCGGGCGCGGGTCGAGCGAGCGCGGGGCCGGCAAACGCAGGGCCAGAGGGCGCGGGGCTGGCGAGCGCGGGGGCCAGCAAGCGCGGGGGCCGGCGAGCATGGGGCTGGCGGGCGCGGGACTGGCGAGCTCGGGGCCAGCAAGAACGGGGCCAGCGGCCGCGGGGCTGGCGAGCGTGGGGCCAGAAAGCGCGGGGCTGGCGAGCGCGGGGCCAGACAGCGTGGGGCTGGCGAGCGTGGGGCTGGCGAGAGCGGGGCCAGCAAGAACGGGGCCAGCGGGCGCGGGACTGGCGAGCGCTGGGCCAGGAAGCGCGGGGCTGGCGAGCGTGGGGCCGGCGAGCGCAGGGCCAGCGGGCGCGGGGCTGGCGAGCGTGGGGCCAGAAAGCGCGGGGCTGGAGTCTACGAGCTGCTGGCGGCTACGGCCGGCTGGCGGCTACGGGCGGCCAGCGGCAACTAGCGACGGGCGGATAGAAACGGGCAGCTAGGAACGGGAGGCTAGGGCTAGGACTAAGGCGGAAGCGCGGGTGGGCGGGAAGGACCTAACCTAGCGCATGATACCATCTCAGAGTTAGAAAAGTGACTAGAAAGATGGGGTACAAGGAATATAAGCTAAGGTGTTGAACCCTCTATGAGTACGCGCCTATCTAGCCTATAGTAGCAACATACCATATATATATATATATATATATATATATATATATATATATGTTTGACACACATTGTCCTCCCTAAGAGCTGTGCTAGCTAGGTTAAACACACATATCTAACCTAGCTAGATATACAAATCTGTTTGACCTTATGCATGCTCTCCAAATGCAACCAGGGCTGAGAAGAATATATTACCAAAATGTTGCACCGACAAGCTTCTATCTAAATTGTGTAGAGAAGGATTACACATAGGGTATAACCAAAGAAGAAGGTAACACAGCAAACAAAGTCAATCCTGACGGCCAAAAGATAGTTGCCATCATTTTCCTTTTCTTCTTTGACTGGCTTCAAATGATAACCGAAAAGGCTGAATTTCTGCACCCAAAAAAAAAAAGGGAAGAGAAACTCATACCCATGAGCCCTCCAGAGCCCCTCACATTTCCACCCACACATAGAAACACGCAAACCGTGGCTGACACAAAGAGGATTGAAATTGCACATGGTGCCATCTCTGAGCAATCCAGCTGAAAGCACAATCAACAAAACCACTCACCTCGCTCCAACTAAGGCTCACTTACCCAGTGTTTGGTGGGAATTCTCGTGAGTTTCCCGCTCTTCATCTCAGCCTCTGGGCGCTCAGTCTCTTCCTCCTTCGCGCTGCCGTTCTCGTCGCCCGCTTCCTCCACTTCAGCCTTGCGAAGCCCCTCGTTTTCCTCCCCACCATTGGCGTTGTTGCATGGCATACATAATTTCTTGTCCTTGGGCGGGCTCGGGATTTGCTTGTCGGAATAATCCTGTGTCAAGGAGCGTTTGACTACCTCGTGTACGTCCCCAACAACGTCCACCACATCCTTCTCGAGCTGCAGAGCGCCGTGGAGGGAGATGAGACGAGTGCAGGAGATGGTATGAGGTGAGGGGAGGAAGGGAAAGGAGGGGAGAAGGGAGGGAGGAGGGAGGGAGGGAGGGGGGAGGGAGGGGTAGGATGGGGAAAGGAACGGAGGGGAGAGAGGAGAAGCAAGAGGGAGAGTGAGAGCGACAAGGGGGGGAAGAGGGGGAGGGGGTTATCCGGGTTTGAATCCAAAATAATAGAGTGCAGTAGCATGAGGGAAGGAACCCTTGTCATAGAGCATTAGTAGGCTGCAATTGGAACTAGCAACACGGCTCACCCTGTCAGAGATAAGGTACACGATGAGGGTTTCCACAGCAGAGAGCACAATGAAGACGTAGGAGATGATGACCAGATAGCCAAACCGTGTGATGGCGGACGAGCGAGGCAGCTGGAGGAAGGGGTGGTGTGAGAGGTGAGAGAGGAGAGAGCTGTTAGGACGAGGGTAAAGGGGAAAGGAGGGAAGTGAGGCGAAAGAGAACGGATCCAGGGAAAGCCAGGAGGGGAAGAATGGAAAAGCTGAGGCGACAACGCTTAGTCATTGGCAGATGGCGTCGCTGTGCACGTTCATGCGCCTGCGCGGCTGCGCATGTGCACATGCATGTCCATATGCTTGTACATGTGCCTTGGCATGTGTATGTGCATGTGCACGGCACGCAAGGCCCACCTGACCGTCGATGACAAATTGCACGGCTGCGAGGGCGAGGAAGAGCGTCAGAAACGTGGCGGATCGAGTCTCAAGGTCGTCGGGCTTAGCGAAGAACACCGAGAAGCACAGATACACGCTCAGGGTGACAGGAACGATAATCTGGCAAGGTGGCAGGCATGGGGCACAAGGCCAAGGGGATGGGCGTGGATCAGATGGTAAGGGGTATGTCTTGAGGGAGAGTGGGGGCAGTGAGAAGAGAAGGTGGTGGTAGGATGGAGAAGGAACGAATGCAGGGGAAGAAAAAGGGGGCATGCAAGAGATTGTAATGTGAAGAACAGAAAAAGCATTAACCAGGAGGAGCCGGAGAGGCAGAGAGGCGGAGAGGCAGAGAGGCGGAGAGGCAGAGAGGCGGAGAGGCAGGGAAGCAGGGGAGCAGGGAATCGGGGGAGCAGGGAATCGGGGGAGCAGGGAATCGGGGGAAGCAGGGAGGGAGGGACTCACGGAGATGATGAAGACGCCGCTGGTGCGGGAGACCTGGATGGTGAAGACACACGACGTGGACTGGTTGCTGCTGGCCGCATCGGAGGAGGAGGAGCTCTGGGAGAAGGCGGACCAGGGGTCATCTGCGCAATAGTAGAGAACGCACAGATTGGGACTGAAGAGTTAAGCTGTATGAATTAATGCAGCGCCTTAATCAGAGAGCATAGGTGCAGCGTTGAGGGCAAGCGCTGCTCAGGCACTTGCAAAGTGCAGCGCAGAGATCCAAGGACGCTGCGATATATATGTGAAAAGAAACGCAAGCCGTGGTTCGGTTACCAGTCGCTTGAGTGGTTACCAACTTACCAGGCGTGTGGGTGGTTGCCAGGTGCATAACTGGTAACCAAGCTCATAGGAGGTTACCAGGCGTATAGGTGGTTACCTCGCAGGCATACGTGATTACCAGGCGCGTGGGTGGTTACCAGGTGCATAATTGGCGGTGGTGGCGACGGTGGTGGCAGCGGGCGTGCAGTTGAGCGCTACGCTGTTGATCTTCCACCCGGTCACCTCGTCAACCACGAACGTGCCTCCCCCTCCCCCCAGCTGCCCCCCCCCCTGCTCTGACTCGCGCCCCGAGTTGCTCTGCACCAGATAGAACTCCCCGCTCTCCACCTGAATGCTCAGCCGCAGCGTCTGCCGGGAGTGGGAGTGCGGGGGGAAGGCAGTGGTGAGGGGAGGGAGGAGGGAGCGGGAGGGGGGGAGGGGATGGCGAGAAAGGGAGGAGAACAGGTAGCCGTTGCGGCTGGACAGCGGGACACGGTGAGACAGTGTGTGTTTTGATTGATTGGGGGAGGAATAATGTTGTTGTGGGAAAGCAGGCATGGCAGCGGCGAGATGACTGGGGGAAGAAGAGAAGTTCGGTGCTGGTTCGCTCAGAAGAACCTTTGTGCATGGGACTCGATTGGGTGCTCGTGTGGAGGAGAGGAGGGTGCAAGGGAGACGGAGCAGGTTCGAGATGTTTTGCAGTGGGGATGTGTGAGAGTGTTGGTACCTGAGTGTCAAGGGGAAACATCTTGAAGTCGAGAGGTGAGGAGAATTCGCCTGGGTGTTGCACACACACACACACGCGCGCGCGTACGCACACACACACACGCGCGCACGCACACATAGATGCACAGACGCACACACGCGCACATGCACACGCGAACACAAACGCACCCGCACACACATCCCCACACATATTCGCACAAAACGCAGTGACAGGCACGCAGAGAAGCTGTGAGATTGCAGGGGAGGCATGACATGCAGCGCTGCAGAAGAGGGCAGCAGTGCAAGTACGAACGCGAGTCGGCATTTGAAAGCGAGTGGACAAAGGGAGCGGGAGGAATGAATCTGAACGGACGCATGAAGAGGAGAGGAGGGGAGGGTGGGAGGAGGGGTGGGTTGGAGGAGGGGTGGGTTGGAGGAGGGGTGGGTTGGAGGAGGGGTGGGTTGGAGGAGGGGTGGGTTGGAGGAGGGTGGGTTGGAGGAGGGGTGGGTTGGAGGAGGGGTGGGTTGGAGGAGGGGTGGGTTGGAGGAGGGGTGGGTTGGAGGAGGGGTGGGTTGGAGGAGGGGTGGGTTGGAGGAGGGGTGGGTTGGAGGAGGGGTGGGTTGGAGGAGGGTGGGTTTGATGGGAGCAGCGACGAGGGAGGAGAGCAGAGGCGCACCTCCCACGACGACCTCTCTGTCGACGGAGCTGAACTCGTTGCTGTACTGCCCAAAGAAGTAGATGCTCTCTGCGGGGGGCGCGGGATAGCGCGGCAGGGGGGAGAGGCAGGGGGGAGAGGCAAGGGGGAGAGGCGGGGGGAGAGGCAGAGGCTGAGGGTGAGGGGATGGGGAGGGAAGGGGAGGGGGGGAAGGGGTGGAGGGAGTGTGAGGGGAATTGAAGTAATGCGGGGGAGACGAGGGGATGGGAAAGAACCTTGGCTTTGAGTAGGTAGAGACCAAACAGGATAGTGGTAGGAAGATTCGAGTGACCTGTTTGACATGGACGGACCTGTCTGGTAGCGGTCCTGCGGGTAGAAGAGCACGTTGTCGATGGTGAGCGAGGGGATCCAGATGGAGTCGCAGCACATGGTGCCCGATGGGGTGCACTTCTTGCTGCACCCGTCCATCTGCGGCAGGTTGTTCTGCTTGCGGTTCTTCAGGCAGTCCTCCTTCTGGCTGATGTTGAACCCCGAAAACGACACGTTCGGCTTGCAGTTGTCCGTGGCGAGTCCGGTGAGGCTCGGGCCGAACGCGTTGATGGCGTTGTTGATGGCCAGCGTGTCGTTCACTGCCAGCGAGCGATCACAGCCGCAGCACGTACAGCCAGGTCAGCCGCAGCAGCAGCAGGCAGATTTTTAAGGATTCTCAAGAGCCACAATCAGTAGGTATGACAGGCTGGTGTGGGCGGGTGATGCGAGTAGCAATTAATAAGCTGCTGTAACATATAGTTCCCCTAACCAACGGGCAAAATGAGTGTTATCCAGAAGCGCAGGGGGTGCGTTTCAACATCCGCAGATGTTACAGCTGCCGCGCGGCACGATTGGCCAATGCAGGGTGGTTAGCGTGGGGGCCCAGGCGCACCTCTTGGGTCTCTCCAGGTGGCGACGACTTGGAAATACGCCGCGTAGCTGTACATGACCTCTGGGGGAAGGGCGGGACGGGGAGAGGACGGGGGGAGGACGGGGGAGGACGGGGGAGGACGGGGGGAGGACGGGGGGAGGACGGGGGGAGGACGGGGGGAGGACGGGGGGAGGACGGGGGGAGGACGGGGGAGGACGGGGGGAGGACGGGGGGAGGACGGGGGGAGGACGGGGGGAGGTGTGTGCGAGAGAGGGGGAGAGAGAGAGAGCGGGGGAGGGAGGGAGAAAGGGAGGGAGAGAATGAGAGAGAGGAGGGAGGGATGGCGAGCTAGTGCGTCAGGAGCTGAGGAGCGCAGCGCAGCACGGCCCGCGGAACGCGCGACATGATCACGTCGCACAAGGACTGCGCGGCGCCACGACTCACCATCCACTCTGATGAGCTTCTTCAGTTGGACGGAGAGGAACATTTTCGGCTTCTCGGTTACAGCCCCCGCCGTGTACGGGTCGATACCCTGCCCGATCAGCGGGCAGTCCGTCTGCGCCGCGGCGAGCTGAATCCCTCCGCGGGAGTTGCCAGCGCGATGATACACGCCGGTCCACGGCAGCAGCACGACGGCGAGTAGCAGCAGCACGGCTGGCAGCACTGCAGGCCGCACGGCGGATGACCTCCCGCCACGGCCGCCGACGACAGCAGTAGTTGTACGAGCAACCATGGCGGCGGTCGGTCCGAGTCCGCAGTGGTTGGCACGTTACTAATCTTCAAGGTTCTACTTGAAGATTCGACTTTAAAAACTTATCAACGGCGCTGCTAGAGCCGCGGTCTACTAGTGGTAGTAGCAAGGCTCTTCCTCGCTGCCACGGCGCGGCAAGAAAGCCGTGGAGGAAGGGAAGGCCGTCAGTCCGGTCGCGGTCTGTGCAGACTAGCAGTCTTAGTCCCTTGTCGCAGTGGCAATGGCAGTTGCAGACTGACAGTATCCCTGTCGTTTCCGTCTGTGTGTAGGAGGGACTCGATCTGGCGATTACAAGGAGCAGCATTGTCTAATGAGATCGGAAGACACGGGCACGGGCGCGGGGGGGAATGGAGAGCCGCGCGGAGGGGGGCGGAGGCGCGGAGAGCTGCGCAGCAGCGATTCTGTCGCGCTTCGAATCCGAGCGTCGATGGACAGGCGGATGAGGGAGAAGGAGCAAGGGCAGGCGCGTGACGAGGAGGACGATTCCTATCCTAGGAGCACGAGGGTGGCCCAAACGGTGGGGCACGACCACCTGTGAGCGCCGAACCCAGCGCCGAACCCACCTGTGCGGCGCAGCCTCCATTCTTTCCGCGGCGACGAATGGCGGCTCGCCTGCCAGACCTGGTCGTCCTCTTTGCTGTAGTACAGAACCTCTACTGCATTGTCGGCCTTCGTCACCCTTGCTAGTCGCCCTTGGTCGCCCGTGTGGCCCAGCCGATCGTCCTAGGACGACCAGCCCGTGCGAGGATATTTGTTGCTACAAGCTGCACTCTCGCGAAAGCCACAATTTCGCGGAGTCTGGGAGTGGGGTTTGTGGGGGGCAGGGCAGTGCTATTGGGCAGACGCCTCAGGTAACCAGCGCCTTCGAGAAACGCTGAATTCTCGCAGCTTGTCGCAAGGCCCAACCCACCAATCTTATTCCGCCTGCCCCCCCGCAAGCCCCGCATACCTCCTCTCCCAGTTTCCCCCCCAGATCAGCTAGTGCTCGTATCTCTGAAGGGGGAAAAGAACGTTTGGTACGCCCTGCGTTTGCCCAGCATGAGCGCTAAGGACCCCGCTAAAATACCACCAACTGAGAATGAGTATCGTCAGAATTACCCTGATTTATCCGAGCTTCTTCAGGGATTCAGCCTTGTAAAAAGCTTGGTGGAACGCGCCCTACGCGAGTCGAGCCCCAAACCAACATGCATTTTGCGCCACTGGACTCTTCCCCCCCATTCCCACGGTTCCACAAAGCACAACCCACCACTAGGTAGTGGCGCCCAGCGTGCCCCATTCCTCGGGCAGCAACGCGCGGCTTCTAGTCCGTCAACTCTCACCACAGCTCCCCGCTTTTCGCTTCCAACGAGCCCCCTTCTCCTGCTCGTCGCGGACTCCTTCCTTCGTCCCGTTCGCTCACCATACTTGTCGTCGGTGAACTCTCCTAAGCGGACAAGCGGCCCCTTCACGAACCTCCCAGTCCGACTCGCCCCGGCCCCTGTGCCTTCGTGAAGATCATGGCACCGGCACCGCCATTATCCCGTCGCTGCTGCTCTCCCCGCCGCGCGGTTTCTCCCCGCGTGACACTTCCGCTGCTGCTGCTACTCCTGCTCGTGCTCCTGGCGCCGGGGGGCGAGCGCGGCGGAGGCGGCGACGGGGTGCGGAGGGCAATGGCGGGGGAGTGCCCGCTGATCGGGCAGGGCATGGACCCGTACTCGGCGGGGCTGGTGGGCGGTAAGACGCCCGTCTACCTCTCCGTGCTGCTCAAGAAGCTCATCAAAGTCGACGGTGCGCGCACGGAGATGAGCTTGCAGAAGGGCGCAGCAGCCACATATTTGTGACGCCAGCCACATACTATGATCTCCAATTGTCCTGTCCCCACTCCCTCCCCCACCTTCCCCTCCCTTTCCTCCCCCCCCCCCCTTCCCCCACCACCACTTTCCGCACGCACTTGCCGCCGAGCTCCTTCTCAGCACAGCACTCATGATGATGTCTCTTGCGTTGCTCCGCTGCGCCCTCACGTCCCTGCGCCCGCCTCTGCGCCCCTGCGCCCTGCTCCCTACCCCCTGCGCCCTGCGCCCTGCCCCCTGCGCGCTGCGCGCTGCGTTTCCCTGTGAACCCCGCATGTGGTGGTGGCAGAGATACAGAACAGCTACTCGGCGTACTTCACCTTCGTCATCACGTGGCGCGACCTAAGAGGTGCGTGCACTCGCACCAGCCTTTGACTCTTTGACTCCTCTCCAGTGGAGTGAGAATCTCGTCTCGTCTCGAAAAGGGAGCGAGGAATGATTCTGAGGTGCCTAAACAAAAGCTTTGACTAGTTGACACTCTACTCGTTGATTCGTTGAAGCCTCTCATGTGGTGGTCTCGGCCCGAGACTCTCGGGGTCCACCGACACGGGAGGGAGGAATGGAGAGAAATGGGGGGATAATATGGGGGAGTTGTCTCGCAGTGCCCATTTGATTCTGCAGCGCGTTTCCTGGTTTCCGTCTTTCCGCACCTTGTGATGCCGCTGATGCTGCCACTTGGCATGGCACGGCACGGTATGGTATGGCATGCACGGCACGACACGAAATGATATGGAATGGCGTGGCATGGCATGGCATGGCATGGCGTGCGTGCAGTGAACGACACGGTGGCGATCAACAAGGCTCTCACGGCCATTGCTCCGTCGCTCACAGGGTTGGCGACGGACAAGTGCAAGCCCAACGCGTCCTTCTCGGGGTTCAACGTCAGCCAGAAGGACGACTGCCTCAAGAACAACAAGCAGGTCGGGGGGCCACTGGGCACTTGCCGCGCACGGGATGGGGGCGATGGAAGAATAGGGGAATGCTGCAATGGGGAAAAGGGGGCGTAGGGGAATGGGGGGACGACGGAACGGGGTGAATGGGGGGATGGGAAAGTGTGGAACGGCGTGATGGGGGAAGAGGAAGGGGGGGGGAAGTTGCCAAGCTGGTAGAGCCTCCCTCTCTCCCTCCCTCTCTCCCTCTCTCCCTCCCTCCCTCCCTCCCCTCCCTCCCTCCCTCCCTCCCTCCCTCCCTCCCTCCCTCCCTCCCTCCCTCCCTCCCTCCCTCCGCCCATTCGTCCCGTGCACGCCTTCTGTACCACCCTTGGCCTGATCACCCCCTTCCTGCATTGTGCTTCTCTTCGTCCCTGCGCCCTCTTCATTTCCCTGCTCCCCTGCGTGCCCGGGGTGCAGAACAATCTGCCGCAGATGGACGGCTGCAGCAAGCCGTGCACGCCTGCCGGCATCACGTGCTGCGACTCCATCTGGATCCCCTCGCTCACCATCCCCAACGTCATACTCTACCCGCAAGACAGATACCAAACTGGTGAGCCTGCATCTGCATGCACTGGAGAGGCAATTTGGGGAGGTATACTGGTCCCTCCTTCCCCTCTCTTGCGCACACCTTCTCTCCTTCCCCCACCCTCACCCTCACCCCCACCCTCACCCTCACCCCCACCCTCACCCTCACCCCCACCCTCACCCTCACCCCCACCCTCACCCTCACCCCCACCCTTACCCTCACCCCCACCCTCACCCGCACCCCCACCCCCACCCTCACCCGCACCCTCACTCTCACCCTCTCCCTCACCCTCATTCTCACCCTCACCCTCACTCTCACCCTCACTCTCACCCTCACTCTCACCCTCACCCTCACTCTCACTCTCACTCTCACCCTCACCCTCACTCTCACCCTCACCCTCACTCTCACTCTCACCTTCACTCTTACCCTCACTCTCAACCCCACCCTCACTCTCACCCCCACCCTCACTCTCACCCACACTCTCACCCTCACCCTCACCCTCACCCTCACTCTCTCTCTCACTCTCACCCCCAACCTCACCCCCACCCCCACCCTCACCCTCACTCTCACTCTCACTCTGACCCTCACTCTCACCCTCACCCTCACTCTCACCCTCACCCTCACTCTCACCCTCACTTTCACCCCCACCCTCACTCTCACTCTCACCCACACCCCCACCCTCACCCCCACCCCCAACCTCACCCCCACCCTCACCCTCACTCTCACCCCCACCCTCACCCTCACCCTCCACCTCGCTCCGCCTCTCTCAACTGGTCGCTGAATACCCCTCTCCGTGACCCAGCCATTCACCATCTTCGTTCCTCTTCCTTCCCCTCTCCCGGTTCCCCCCCTCCCCGTGGTTTCAGAGAGCATTTACTTCTTTGGGGACCAGAGCTCAGACTTTAGTGCGGTGGACAGGGAGGTCGTTCTGCAAGGCAAGTGTGCCTCGCCTACCCATGCATTGTGCGTGCAGCTTGTACTTCCTTGCCTCTGCTCATCTGCTCTGCTCCCCCTCCACATTCTTTTGTCGTTCCCTCAACCGCCTCTCACGCCATACATGGCAGTCCCCCCACTACCGCCTCACATGTCGTAACTGGCTCGCACGCCATAGCCCCCTCAGGGAGTAGTGGTGCCTCTTCCCTTGCGTCTCTCCTCGGCAGGCACCTTCTCTTCGCCCTTCAACTTCAGGAGGTTCCCCTTCGACTCCCAGGTACGCACCGTACCACCAGCACGCATCTCACCTCTGGATTGATCTGCTGCTCAAACCAGAATCGTCACCTCCCTGCCTCTTTCCCTCCACCCCCTCATCTCTCGTTCCTCCCCATTTCTCTTTCTCCTTTCCTCGCCCTCGTTCCCACTCTCTTCCCCACGCACTCTCACTCCCCTCACCTTGCCCTTTCCTTTCCTATTCTCTCCTCCCCACTTTCGCCGTGCACTCCCCCATCCCTGTCCGCCCCTCCCCTTCTCCCCAACCCAGACCCTCCTCCTGTCGCTGTCAGTGGAGGGCAGCGGGTTCTATCTGGTGGGCAGCAACTATGGGCGCGAGACAGAGCAGGGAGGCACCAGTAACTCGGGAGGCAGTTCGTTTGTGCATGACGAGGTGACTGGGTGGAAGATCAAGAACGCCCTTCTCAACTGCAATCCGGTTCAAACGACCATCTCCACGTCTTCTACCTACCACCCAGGTAAGCAGTGGCCACAGCTGAGCCTAGAACCGGCCGTTCCAAATGTCCCCAGCTCTGCTGAATTGCTTGCATCTGTCATCTTGGGCTCTTTCTACGTTGAAGTCAGACTTCTGTTACCTACCTACCTACAACCAGGAGCAGCGCACCTGAGAATGAGGGGTACTGTTTAGATGCCTCATTGCTGCCCCATCGCTCACTGCCTCCATCTGCTTCCCTCCCCCGGACCCTTCCAGATGACCCATGGACGTCCATACCTGCCGGTGGCTCTGACTCCGCTGCGAGCAGCCAGAGCACCATGTGCGTGTTCACCATTGATCTCACACGCACCAGCTCCGTCTACATCTTCTCGGTAACTACTCACCCCTGCAACCCGGTAGATGCTAACCACCACTGCCTGTCACCGGTAGGTAGCTGCAGCTTGGGCCTGTTTTGGACACTGACTTGGCACTGCCCAGCTTGTGGCTGTCGTCATGCCACCCCCTGAATAGGTAATACCTGTCATCTGGAGTGATGGTCCCACTTTGACACTACAATGCGTTTGCCCTCCTCTGTGAGCCGCTCTCACTCCCTCTCTTTCAGTTGCAGCAGCCTGTTTCACCATCCCCCTCTCCTTCTCGCTTCCTCATTCTCCAACTGACAGTGGCCCACCATCTCCTCCCTTCCCTCCTCCCCCAGACGCTGCTGCCTGTGATCCTCGCACTTGTCCAATGCTGCCCTGTCTGTGCACTCTGTTCCCTTCTCCAGGTGCTGCTGCCGGTGATCCTCAGTGTGTACCTCACCTTCACGTCTTTCGTTGCCAAGCCGGAGGATCTTGAGATTCGCTGTGGTGCCTGCGTCACGCTCTTCCTCGCGCTCGCCGCCATCCAGTTTGTTATCGACAGCCAGGTCAGGCCCCTTGCCCCTTGGAAGTTGGCACACTGAACATCAGGCATGGCTGCCATCGCTCTCTTCCTGTCACCTTCACTCTGCACTTGCCTTCCAAGCTCATTGAGTGTCTTCAGACCATGCGTGCACTTCTGCGCAGCCCGCACTACTTCCAGTACAGCTACCGTTCCTCTTTGTGACACCAGGCTCATCTACACAGTCGCCCATTCCTCTTGCTGCCCTCCCTCCCTTCCCTCGCCCGCAGCTGCCCCACACGTCCTACATCACAAAGTTTGGGTACCTGATGATTGTTTCCTACGTGATCATCTGGTTATGCACCATGGAGGCCCTTGTTGTCTTCTGCATAGCCGAGCGCATCGAGAAGAATGTTATCGAGACCGTGATGGACACGCTGCCGCCCGCGCTGTCAATGAAATTGACCTCCACTAAGGAGGACCAGGCAGCAGAGGAGCAGCTGATGGGGGGGGCTGAAGCGCATGACGGCAAGGAGCCGGACACTGAAGCCATTGCAGAGGCGGCTGCCGCGAGGAGGGCTGCTGCAGATGATATGAAGCAGAACTCGGCTGTTCCCAGCTTTCTGGTATGTACCGCTGCTAATGGTTGAGGTGAGGTGCTGCTGAAAATAGCAGGTTCTTTGAGGCGTCCTGTCCTCAGGTGCAAATGTGCCATGCCACTGCAATGCAACCCCTCCGCACCTCTGCTTTTGTGTAGCTGTTCCCCCCAAATCTCTCATATGAGCCTCCCGATTCAAACATGTTCATTCTGTAAATCTCTGCTTAAAACCTGTTCCAAATCGCACCTGTTTCCATCCACCTCTTTCAGAAATTCCGGCTGTTTGGCTATCACTTGAAGGGATCGAACCCTGACAGAGCAAAAGAAGGAAACTATCGCCTTGCTGTTAGAATTGACTTCATTTGCTTCACTATCTTCTTCATTGGCTACACCATCCTTTGGATTGTGCTCTATACTGCTTGAAACATGTACTGCATGTGAAGTATACCGTATGCCGTTTTTCGCTGCGTCATACCCATGTGTGTATGCCTGCTGTATTGAGCTGAATTTTGGAAGCACTGATCCTTCGTGCAATTCCTAGATTAGGATAGCGTTCGCCATTGGAGGCTACGAAGAGAACCGACACTACTGCCTATGCCAATAAGCTTTGTTGAAAGCAAAACAAAGCGGCCCTATTTTGAATCAATATTGTTGTGATAAATACATACATTGTGAAAGCTTGCTTGGGTCATCTTGGCAAAGGCAGCGTGCTTCATTTCATATGGGGCAAAGTACTGTATTCCCCCGGATAAAACACCCGCCGGAATCGATCACTCATGGGTGGTTTGGGCGGACCTGGGTGCTTAATTAAACTGGATATTTATACCACCCTACTTTTCAACATGAATCCAATACACCACCCCCCAGCTTCTTTACCTTCATTTTCTACAGCTTGGGGCTATGAACAATATAGTTTTAATATTGCAGAGACTGTCCTACAGTCTAAATTATCAGGAGTTAGGACTAAACACCATGGTCTACTCCCTACCTCTACACTATGATCACTATTCGCATGGTGGTTGGGATCTTACAGGCCCCATGATATGGACGGCCGCTCCTAGTACTCGTCTACATCATCTTCAGCTTCATCTTCGTCGTCACCTACAACCCACATCTCCACGTCGCTACCCTCTGCAAACTCTTCCCACCACCCGTTGTCCGCGTCATCAGCAATGCCCTCTGCTGGCCATTCCCTTTCCTCCTCTGCTGCATCCTCTTCAAAGGCCTCTGCCACGTCTTCTTCGTCGTCTTCAGCGTCTCCAGTGGGAGGCTCGAGGCTGTCGTCGAACAAGGGGTTGACGTACTCTGCTTTGCCCTCTTCAAAATGCACGTCATCAAAAACTTCCACTTCCGGCTTGCCACGGAGATGGCTCAGGATCAAATTGTCCTCCGAGCCGCCCAAGTCGTTGGAGATGCCGCAAGTCTTGAACGACTTGCTGATCAACTCCTCTGGGACTGCGGCCCAACTGCGAGCAATCCACTTGAGGATGAGCTCAGCTGGGGGCTTCTTGAGATTGCCTGCAGGGAATGGAATCACATGACGCAAATTGAGGATCAAATTTTGGAGCCGCCGGCAGAGGCGAATTCAGTGTCAATTAAACAGTTGACACAATCGGAAGCAGCGGTACACAAGACCCACCGTGTTTTGTCTTCTGCTCGATGCCAGTAGTCTCGAACCAGCCGCCATAGTCACTCCTGACACCGGCCTTGAAGGACTTGTTAACGGCAACATCTAACGGCTGCACGAGTGGGGTGCAGCCGCCGGGGATCACAGCACGCGTCAGCTTGCACAGCTTCGTAGTCTGCCCAACGGCCTGCGTGAGGTGGCCTTTGTAGGAGTCTAGGATCACGAGAGCCTCCTTACGCTTGTTCCTCGAGTCTCGAAGAGGTCGAAGGAAGGGGTTGAGCACTTGAGTCGTCCAGTCCTGGACTAGGCTGTCGTCCATCCAACCCTTCGGCTGGGCTCGGATGACAACACCTGCATGCACACCGGACTCGAAGTAAGGGGACAATGAGGATAGACGGCAAGGAACCGAGGGCTAGACATCACACACTTACCGGGGGGGACTTGAATCTTTGGGAGGGTTTTCCTCTTGAAGATAACGTAGGCCGGTAGCTTCAAACCAGACGCCGTTACCGCCAGCATAACGGTGAGCCTCTCTTTCTCGTAGCCCGCGGTCCTCACATGGACTGTACGTGACCCCTTGTGCTCGAGCGTCCTCTCCTGGGGCATTTCGATGAAGAGTGGAGTCTGGTCCGCATTCACGATGAGGTCGAGGCTGTACTTGTTGAGCACGCGCATTTGGCGAACGAATTCCCAAAATTTCTCACATTTCTCGCGCATATCTGCCAGGTAAAACAAGGAACCGCTTTAGTTTCCATGAATTCAGAAGCGGGTGAATGAGTTCGGTAAAACGACGGACTTAACGTCGGCCAGTTTCTGGCCCATCTTCGTCTTAACACGACGAGTCAGGCCCCATCGGGCCCGAAAGCGAAACGTCCACCTGCTGGAGGCGCGCCAGTCGATGTCGGGATGGTGGTGTCGCATGTAGGCGCGGCTCCACTTCTGCAGCTGCTTGATGGAGACGGCGAGTCCTTTGCCGCGGTGCTTCAGAAACTGGCGGTAGAGGGCACGCTCCATTGCTGGGAATTTCGCTGGTCGTCCGGCCCTGACAAGACGCCTACGACAGCCGGTCGCGACGCGAAGCCGCTCGTGCGCCCTCTTCCATTCCGTGATGGACACAGGTTGCACTCCTGCAAGCCTCGCCAAAGCACGAACAGAGAGGTCAGGTTGTGAGTCGGACATATGCAGCCAGAACAATTTTTCTTTCGCGGTGTACGACCGTCGTTTTTTCTTTGTCATCCTGCTGCGCGGCGACGGCGGAATACTATCGTCGATTCTAGAGGGACCACGTCGGTGCCGAACCGGTGAGGGGAACCTTGGAACGTGGACGCGTGGTAGAGGAGCACGACCTTCAGTCGCGCCAGTCGACTCGTCTGCCGTAGGAGTGCTGGCATCGCTAGCGGTGGGTATAGGGCTGCTGGGTGGCGATGCAACGGTAGGGCGAGCAGGAAGACGGAACAAGGTTTGCTGGCCATAAGGGCCACGCTGAGTGAAAAGACGGTTGAGGCCCGAGCCATTTGCCATAGCGAGTTGGAGCTATCCTAGCTGAGGGGAAGGATGCCCTCGACAACCCTTTCAGAGGTCGTTTTGAAGCCATCGTCTCTCAAGAATTCGAAATGAGTTGGGAGAACTCCCTATACCCTCAGCATGAGCGACTTGGAGGGGATGGAGGGGACGTGGATGACTCCCTCACTCGAGTCGCTCACGATAGAGCCTTCACGACCATGCAGCACGGGAGAATCCGTGCGCTGGTCGGCCCTGTTTGGGTCGTGAAGGAATCTGCAGCAGATTCCTCTTGCAAAGGTTTGTTGGCACGTCGTGGCGTGGAGGTTGCCACCACGAGGTCACACCATGCCCCTATTGGCTGGAAAACGCAGGAGAACTGTGACGTAGCACAGTTTCACTTCCAACATGGCAGAAGGATAGTCATCATCAGCGTATACGCGATTATGCGCAAGAATCATCCAAAATTGGCTCAGCACAAGTCTGTGAAGTACACATCTTAATCCTGGTTTCGTAATAGAACAATGTCATTCCATAGCCCCCGGGCGTTGTACAAAAAGTGCCACTAATTACACCCCCACTAAATTTTGCATCAAAATTTGTTGCCACCCATGGGTGTTTTATCCGGGGGAATACGGTACATGGTTCTCGTCCAATAGACTACACCTACAAATAGGGTGGGTGGGTGGGGAAAACGAACTGGAACTAGAAATGAAGAACGTGGGTGAGGTCGAATGGCCTCACGTCCCTCTTTTGTAGGCAAAAGAGGGTGAGTAGCGCTTCGACGCTGTCCTTGCTGCGTTGGCCCTCGCTGCACTTTCACATTACACATTTTTTATAAAGCGTTACACGCTTAAAAAAAAAAACATTTACGAAGTTCTGTAAGTAGTTCCGATAGATCAGGGTTTCAGCTAGGATTTAGGGCTGTCTGAAAATCAGACGGGGTTCCAAAGTTTCATCTGACCATCAGACGAAATTTTTCAAGGAGTCTGATATTTCAGACGATTTTTTTTTTATTTTTTTTTCGCAAGTCTGAACAAGTAGACGAAATTTTTGCCGCAAGAAACTTCGTCACGTGAAATTTAGACTTCGATTTTTCCGTTTCCTTACTTCCTGATAAGAGCCTGTTCCTACGAACGTCTTCCCAGACTTGGACCCGCCTATGAGTGCGTTCGAAGGTTCCTTGTCAAGCTGAAATCGTTTCAGTATCACAATTCTTAGCTGCTTCGAATTTGCTCGCGTCAAAATCGTACTGTATAGATGCCCGCCTGTCTAAAAAAAGGCGCGCCTGAGAAGAAGTTTGAAAGCAGATCCTAAACCTTGACAGTCACGACCTTGCGTCAGACCACGCGGAACCGCATTGAACCGTTTTGCGTAGAAATTTTATGACATTGTAGTGCGCGAGCCTGGGGAGAGAGACCAGGGCTTGCGTACTATATCTGCCTACAGTACCATGGCCTTGCTCTGTTTGGGGTTGAGAGACTCGCACGTAACGTGACGTGTCACGCACAAGCAACCCTCACTGTACGCACCGCCATTGCAGGAATACGGGGGGGAGGGTGTGGGAGGGTCTTTAGCCAAAATTTCATGGTCTAGCTATGAGGGACTTCATCGAAAAAATATGGCTTGAGGGGTGCGTGGGGGAATGTATCTCGCAATAAGGGTCTTCACCGAATTTTCGGGGTTGTGAGGGACTTCGTTGAAATTTTATTGTTGCGAGGGGTATTTGAAGGAATATCTCTAGTCTGGAGGACTATGTCGTGGCACTGGATAACCCTGTCGATCCTCTCTCTCTGTCTAGGGAGGGTACTGGGGAGGCTTTCCCCCGGGGAAGGTGGATATATGGAGCCTACCCCTCCTGATGACATCCCTTCTTGTCCCAATGGTTAGGGCTGGTGACTTTCTGACTTGGTATCAGAGCCGTCCGGGGTTCAATTCCTGGCGCTATCCCAGCATGGGGGTGTGTCGTGGCACTAGGATAACCCTGTCGATCCTCTCTCTCTGTCTAGGGAGGGTATTGGGGAGGCTTTCCCCGGGGAAGGTGGATATATGGAGCCTAACCCTCCTGATGACATCCCTTCTTGTCCTAGTGGTTAGGATTGGTGACTTTCTGAATGACTATGCCGGAAAAACTAGCACAGAAACAAAACTGGAGGTTGTATAGGGGTGTGGGAGGAATGTATCTGGCACTCGGGGACTTGGCCGGAAAAACTCTTGGTTGTGGGGGGCGTTGGGGAGACGAAAAATATATCAGACGAAAAAATCTGCGCCATCTGAATTCTCAGACGAAAGTCTATACCTAGTTTGTACTTTCAGACGAAATCTTATGGCTTATCTGGACGATCAGACGAATTAATTTAGCCCTTAAAAAAATCAGATGAATGAGAAAAAACAGGTCTAATTTTCATACCATCAGACTGATTTCGTCTGATATCTGAGACCCTGCGATACATGCTATCGAGTTACACTGTAGTTACCATTCGTAGAATGACGTAAGCAAACAGAGCTCGTCTGAATGATTACGTCAGCAGGCCGTTTCAGTCACGCGAACAGTCGCGCCCTTTTTCAGTAGTGTTTAGAGTGTTAGAATAACGCAATGAACTAGATTGAACCATACATGGAGGTTTTGTGCTATGGTGCTGTACCCTCTATGAGCATGCACCTATCTAGCCTATAACATATACAAATATATGTTGACACACCCCTAGGCTAGACAAGGGGCGGTGTCTGGCAAGAGACAGGCAGCTCACGGTGGCACTTCTAGTCCAACCTCTAAGGCAAGGGTCTGAAGACCAGTCACAAGAGTACATACAAGACAAGAGCAAACCAGGGCGGCACTACTAGTCTAACCATTGGAGCAAAAGCCACAAGGCCAGTCACGAGAATATAATAAGAGTAGTGCACAATCAAGGTCCTAGCAAGTGAGGAGCTAATGGAACTAGACCAAGCTGTACACAGTGCCGTTGATGATCTTTAGGCGCAAGCGCCTTAGTAAAGATATCAGCTGTGTTGGCACCGGAGGCCAAGTGTAGTACGCGGGCCTGGCGTCGTTGCTGCAGCTCACGCAGGAGGAAGTACCGCAGCTAGATGTGCTTCGCTCTGCCCTCAAGTCGTGGCTCCTGACACTAGAGGATCATGGCCTTGTTGTTAGCGTATAGGACCGGGGCAGAGCTAGGCCGCTCACCTGAGTCTGTGAGCAGGAACGTAAGCCAGCAGAGCTCCTGTGCTGCGATGGCACCAGCGTAGATCTCAACCTCGCAGCTAGATTGTGCAACAGACAACGAACGGGTGGACCTCCACGAGACATCGCCTGCACAAAGGTTAAAGCAGCAGCCCAGAGAGTACCTGAGCGTCTCAACGTCGTCGGCCCACAAAGAGTCTGTGTGCCCTATCAGGACCAGTGGCATGCGTCCTCCAAGCACTAGCCCCATGCCCGATGTACTTGCTGGATAACGCAAAACCCTCTTAGCTGCCGGCCTGTAATGTGGTCGGTGTCTGCCTGTCCCCACGAAGCGAGCCAAGATGCTGAGAGGGTATGCGAGATCTGTACAAGTGCAAGTCATCAGGTACATAAGAACCCACCAGCTCTGTGTACGGGCCACTAGACTCTACAGACTCCTCAGGGCTGGAGCCGAGAGCCTGTGATCTACTGGCAGAGGTGTGGGCTGTGCGGAGGAGAACTGAAGACCGAACCTCTGGCGGACCTGGCGCACCAAGTCTGACTGTATGAGAGTGATGGTGTGCGCTGCTCTGTCCCTGGAGATCTGCAGCCCAAGGTAGCGACGCAGCTCTCCTAGGTCAGTGCAGGTATGTCTCTTCAGCAGCTCAACCTTCACCGAGGCCAGTGCGTCTCCGTCTGCAGTAGCAAAGACCAGGTCGTCTACATAGACAAGGATTTAGAATGGGGTCTCTCCTAAACAGACGAAGAGTGAAGGGTTTGCAGACGGCAGGAAGAATTGCAGGTCAGCTAACATAGCATGCAGCGTGTCGTGCCACTCACGGGGCGCCTGACGCAGGCCGTAAACTGGGCGCCGGAGGAGCCACTCGGCCCCAGGAGCGAAGGTGACGGTGAACCCCGGCGGACGGCGCAGGTAGACCTGCTCGTGCAGACTGTCCTGGAGAAGCGCTGTAGAGAAGTCCAGAGAGTGCAGCTCGTAGTCACGCTGAGCTGCTACGTGTAGCAGAGCCCGAAGAGTGGTCAACTTCGGGGTCGGGGCCAAGGTATGAAAGAAGTCAACACCCTCGTGCTGACTGAAGCCTCTCGCAATGTAGCGCGCCTTGAACACCGGTGGCTCTTCAGGAGGGCGCTTCAACTTGAAGAGCCACCAGCCATCGACTACGTTCACCCCAGGTGGGGGAACTGCGTCGACGTAGGTGCCTGTGGATCTCCAAGACGCCATCTCCTGCTCCATGGCAGCTATCCACTGAGAGGCCTAGGGTCCCGAGGTCGCCTCAGCGTAAGTGCGAGGGGTCGGGATGTTAAAGGCGTCTGGGTCACCCTCAGGGACTAGTAGCATGGAGCAGAGATGGGGAGCAGCCTCGGACAGGAAAGCAAGCTTGTACTGCCGGTCCTCCAGGACGTCAATGCCGAGGGCAGGAGCACCCCCGACGGACGGAGGACGGGAAGGGTTAGAGACCAGAGTGGTGGCGTAGTCAAGGTGGCGGGTAGAAGCAAATTCAGCGATGGTAGCGACAAGAGCGTCAAGACCCGAGAGAGGAACAGACGGATCAATAACGAGAGAGGCAAGGACTCGAGGAACAAGAGGACTAGCGACATTAAGGTAGTTAGATAGAGGAGGCGGAGCGACAAGAAGCGATGACAGAGGAGGGGAGGACGAGATGCGTGGGAACGGAGCAACATAGGGTGAGAGCGCTGAACAGACCAGAGATAGGACGGGCACGAGAGGGACGGCGAGACCAGAAGTGGGACGGAGGCGTTGGGTCAGGAGACACAGGAGGAGAACAAGGGTCGAAACAAGCTGGAGACGAGTCCGGCAGCGGAAACACAGGGCCGTAGACGGGCAGGGGAGGCAGCTGCGGGGGAGGCGCAGTTGGGTGGTCAGGGGAGGGAAGACCGAGGAGGCGAAGGGCGGATACCGGCAACGACTGCTGCTGCTGCTGCTGCTCCTCCATGCTGACACCAGAACCTCCAACTGCACCATGGCTGCCTCCGTGACTCTCCACGCCAACACCCCCAAAACGAGAACCCTCTCCAGTAGCAATGCCACCCCCAGGACCGCTGGGACAAGCTACGACAATTACCCCAGGTTTAGCACCCCCAGAACCAGCATCCCCAAAACGAGAACTCTCCTAAGCACCGGCGCCACTCCCAGGACCGCTGGGACAAGCCACGACAGTAACCGTAGGACTAGCACCCTGCTCAACGCCCGCACCACGAGAGCTGGCGGACCCCTGCGGCGGTTGCTGCTGCGGAGGCGGTGACTGCGGTGCTACTGCGGCTGCGACGGCGGCAACGGCTGCTGCTGCGGTGACAGCGGAGGAGGAGACACCAGGGCAGAGACAGGCGGCGAGAACGAAACCGCGCGGCCACTAGAGTCAGCCGACTCCTCGACCGGGACAACCGACGGGAGGGGAGTGACTTGAGGCACACCCGACGGGGTAGGACGGGGAGGGAGAGGAGCAGGGGAGTGGGAACCGGAAACAGGGGCAGGGAAACCGGGAGACCTCGGTGGGGAAAACGGTGGTAGAAGGAGACCGACTCATAAAAAGTGACATCATGCAAGTGAAAGAAGCGGTGAGACGGCGGGTGGTAAAAGTGCCAGTCAGATGCATCAAGGGGGAAGCCAAGGAAGACCCAGGGGACAGTGTGGACAGTGAGCTTGTCCATGCCAGAGGCACAAACGAGAGCAAGGCAGCACTAGACGAGGAATGCAGACGTGTCACCAGGGAACCCGGTCCAGAGAAGGGTTACCGAAACCTGCTGCTGCTGGGAGTGCGGCCACAGGTTAAGCTGGTGAGCGGCGTAGCGAACAGCGAACGACCGCAGAAAATGGGGTGCACCGGCATGGATCATGGAGGTACCAGCCACCTCCATGACCAAACCGATGCGTCGCTCAGTGACCCCATTCTGCTGCAGGGAGTCTGGCAGGGTGTACGACTGGGTGATGCCCTCCGCACAACAGAACTGGCCAAGCCGACCGGAGGCGAACTCGCCGTCACTGTTAGAGTGGAGACGAAGCACAGGGAGGCCGCGGTGGACTCGCGCAGCGATGACCCATGGGATAAGAACGTTAGGCACGTCGGCCTTCCGCTCCAGGGGAAACACCATGGTGTAGCACGTGTAGTCGTCGACAAGCACTAGAAAGTAGCGCTCCCGACGCGGCCCAGGGACAGGGGCTGGGCCCCAGACGTCTAGGTGCAGGGTCTGGAGTGGCGTAGTGGTAGGGGCAAGCGAGGAGGAGTGAGGAGCACGACGCAGCCGGCCCTCGACGCAAGGCGTGCACGGTGGCGCAGGCGAGGGAGGAAGGGCAGGGAGCGATGCAGGGAGAACGAAGACAAGACCGTGATGGGACATGTGACGCAGACGCGGGAGTGCAGGGTGACCTAGACGGTGGTGCCACAGCAGTGACGGGTGTGTGAGCGACCGACACGAGCAAGCCGCAGCGACTTGGGTGGACGCAGTCACCTGGGGGGATGCCCTCACTGAAGGGGACACAGTGTCAAGCGTAAATAGGCCAGGCACAAGGACCCGGGGGAATGTGGTGAGAGGAGCACCGGTGGTGGCCTCGGTACAGACCGCGTACCGCTCGTGTTCGGGAAACGTAGTGGTGATGCCGAGGTCCTGAAGACAGCCGACACCAACTAGGTTCCTGGAGAACGAGAAGATGTAAAGGCCTGTAAGAGAATCCGAGGGGACCGCCTGACAGGGAAGGGTGGTGGAGCTACGGACAACTACCAGACCTGAGGAGGGGTCAGCAAGCGCGACAGCGGCAGGGGCGGCAAGAGGCTTGAGTGCAGTGTGGTCGTGGAAGAAGCAGGCAGACGCTCCAGAGTCGAGCGAGAAGGAGAGCAAAGCAGTAGCGTCCGGCGGCGGAGGGGCTTGCGTGGAGCCTAGGCTAAACAAGTCACGGGGTCCTACGCCTGACGCAGCAGGGAAACCTAGACTACACACAGGGGATACAGCTACGCTAGGCAACACCGGGTAATAGGGTCCAGTCACACTAGAGTAATCAGCATACATGGCATACAAAGCAGACCTAAACTGATCCATGTCCATCTCAAAGACAGGCACACGACGGCGCACCAGGCTGTACCAGTCGGGGGGTGTCTGGCGTGGGGCCTAAGCGGAGGCGGAAGAGGTCGTCGAAGCGGCGGTAGCAGCGTGCGGCGGTGTGACCGTGGCGGTCACAGACGGTGCCGCGGCGGGGGCCGGACTGAAGCTGGTACTGGCAGGTGATCACACCGCCACTCGACACCGAGCTGCGCCCCCCACCGGCTGCTGCTGCTGAGGCTGCTGCTGATGAGGCTGCTGCTCCGGGGCACCATCCCCGGTCCCCTCGTCTGCATCACCGTCCCCTCCACCACCTCCGCCACCACCGCCACCCCCGCCACCGCCGCCACCCCTCCCGCCGCCACGCGCCCCCCGGGCCCGACGTCCCCTACCCTGACAAGACAGCGCGAAGGCTGCCGCAGCGGTCTCAGCAACAGCAGCAAATACGTCAGAGTAAGTGCACTGGAAGGGAGCACAACCGTGGAAGATAGGGACCACCGCAGTATTGCTCAACTGAGCGATAGTGCCCTGGCGGATCTCTATCGCGGTCAGGGTAGTGACAAAGTCAGTAAGGGTGAGGTCAACAGGGTGGAGGGCAAGCAAGTGGTCGCGGGCGGTTGCTAGGTGGTCAGGAAGGCACGTGGCAAGGAAGTAGGGGGTAGCGTCAAGGGGGGGAGGCAGTACAAGGAGCTGAGCCTCAGTGCTAGCAGCGCGGTATCTAGCCTCTAGTGCGCGCAGGTGAGTGGCGAGATCAGCTACTACGGGAAAAGGCGCAAGGTCAGGGAAGTTCAGGGGGGGGAGGAGACGACTGGCAGAGGCGGAGGAGGGAGTGGAATAGCGTGCAATAACATCATCTAAGTACGCCTGCGCAGTCTCTAGGGCCTGGTAGCGGGGGCGCTCAGACAGGGGGAGGGCGCGACTGCGGGTTGGGGGCGTCAGAGAGGGCAACAGGCGGGTTGGGGCAGGGGATCTTACCGTCGACGTTAATGGCCAAAGACTGGCCATCCTGGCGTTGTCCCCTCAGCGAGCGGCGGAGGTCGGCGAGCCACGCCTCAAAGTCAATCGCCCGACCCTCCGCGTCCAGGCGGAGCACAGCGTCCGCCATCGCCACGGCTGCAGCAGCTGACTGTTGCTAGGGGAGGAGGAGGAGAGGGCGGTGGAGAGCGGAGGTGGAGACGGCCGGCGGGAGCGCTGGCACAGAAGGGGGAACCAGGGCCAGCATATCGGGGCGGCACAGCAGCACGGCGGCTCGGCGACTCGGCAACTCGGCGACGCGGCGGCTCGGCGACTCGGCGGCTCGGCGGCACGGCGGAATGGCGACTCGGCTACTCGGCGGCTCGGCGGCTCGGCGGATCGACGGTGTGGTGGCGCGGCGCGGCGCAGCTCGGCGGCGCAGCGGCTCGGCGGCACGGCTCAGCGGCTCGGCGGCGCAGCGGCTCCGCGGAGTGGTGCATCGGCTCGGAAGCGCGGCGCGGTGCGGCATGGCAGGGCCGGCGCAGCGTGACTGGGCCGGCGCGGAGTGACGAGGCCGGTGCGACGTGACGGGCCTGGCGCGGAGTGACGGGGCCGGCGCAGCGTGACGAGGCCGGCGCGGTGTGACGGGGCCGGCACGAGGTGACGGGGATGGCGCGGCATGACGGGGCCGGCGCGGCGTGACGGGGCCGGCGCGGTCTAGCAGGGCCGACGCGACAGGACGGGGCCGGCGCGGCGTGATGGGTCCAGCGCGGTCTAGCGAGGCCGGCGCGGCGTGACGGGGGCCAGCGTGGCGGGACGGGGCCGGCGCAGCGGGACGGGCCAGCGCGGCGTGACGGGGCTAGCGCGGCGTGACGGGGCGCCGGCTAGGTTGCGGTCTAAGGCTAGGGCTAGGGCTGGGGGCGGAAGCGTAGGCAGGGAGGGGGACCTAACCTTGCGTGATACCATGTTAGAATAACGCAATGAACTAGATTGTGCCATACAGGGAGGTTTTGTGCTATGGTGCTGTACCCTCTATGCGCATGCACCTATCTAGCCTATAACATATAGAAATATATGACATAGAGCGCATAGCGCGAATAGTTACGGGGTGGTTTACTGTTCAGAGGGTATTAACCCTGATAGCACTGTTCATCGAATCCCAAACTTATCTCATCACGATCCAACTCAAATTCCAACTGCAACGTGGCTCTCTAGTTTCGCCACGTAATCCCATTCTGTCCCATAAACCATTTTCCCACAACCGTTCTTGCATGCTATATAAACCTTGCTTGTATTCGCCAATATCATAAATCATTACCCAGTTACTTCTTCGCATACTTCGCCAACAACTTCTTCGCTTAAGTCTTCCGCCACACTATTTCCTCGATTTAACCAACTCTGCTATTCTCTAGCGGATTAAGGCCAAGCGGCCTAACACTTGGTATCCAGAGCTTGGCAGGGAGCGTCTTCCAACGAGCGACCGTCGACGACGATACTACACCGTCATCGTCCCACGGTGCCGACCTGCAGACTGGGAGTCGCCGAGCCGACTATGGCCTCCGCCATGGCAACTAAACCCCAAGACATGGGAAACTCGCTTGCCACCCTCATGCAGCAACTCGAGGCGCTGATGCTTGAATATCGTCAGGTACAGGTTGAAATGCAACAACTTCGTGAATTGGCTTCTTCTTAACCCTATGGCCATGCTACACCAACTCCAACACATTAACTGTCGCGGAAGCACTGCCGGAGCGTCGAACGACGCTGAAGTTGCAGAAGCCGGAGCCGTTTGACCCAAGTCATCGCGACTAGAACGTGCGGACGTGGATGTTCATGCTAAGCAACTACTTCAACGCGAGCGGGGTGCAAGAGGCAGATGCGCAGCAGCGAATCAAGTACTCCGTAACGCTGCTGAGGGGCCCGACCTTGGAGTGGTGGTGCCAACTCACACAAACTACTATTAGAAAGGCTCACGTAGATAAGCATCAGCAGTGCGAGGGGAATGCAGCTGCAATGTCGAGCTTAGGTAGTCTAGCTTTGGGTGTTACCACGGTTCCAACCACATGGGGAGGTTTTGAAGCGTCGCTGACAGCTAGGTTTGATTTGGTGAATGCCTTCAAAGCTGCTAGGAAGCGTCTGCATCATTTTCGTCCGATAGGAAATGTCCAGGAGTACACGGTTCTTGAGCCTCTGCAACAAAATGGATGACATCACAGAAGCAGAGATGCGCGATCGCTACCTCAAAGGGTTAAGGTCGGACATAACAAAAGTCATAGCGATTCACGGATTGTCCACCTTGGAGGCAGTAGTTGCAGCAGCAGAACGCGTCGACGCAATACGAAGTCGACGGGGTCGTGACGATTGCGATAGGAGTTACAATAATCCGATCAACGATACTTGCTCGAGGGAGGGACCATCACCCATGGAGATTGGTGCAGTTATCAGTGATAGCTCACAGAGACCCGGATGTAGAGGGAACCGTCACTACTGCAAAAGGCCAGGACACATGAAGTGGGACTATCCTCAACTTAAGGAGCGGCAGCAAAGAAACGGAAACCGCCAGTAGATAGAGGGTCGCTAGCTGGTGTGCAGGCTTCCGTACCCGCCGGGTCTACACATGTAGAGGAGATCTACGCCAAACAGGGTAGACGATGTTGACCAGTAGCAAAGTCACAATGGAGTTTGATTTCAGCTGAGACAAAGGAGATGAGGGAGCAGGTTAAGCATTACCTAGCGCAGGATTTCATCCAGCCGTCCAGATCTCCTTGGGCAGCACCGATCCTATTTGCACCTATGAAGGACGGGGGTGAAGGATGTGTATTGATTACCGAGCATTGAACGCCGCCACCATCAAGAATAGGTTCCCAATGCCGAGGGTAGAGGATCTTCTAGATGTAGTGCAGGGTGCTAGAATTTTCTCCAAGATCGATCTTCGTTTAGGATATCACCAGATTCTAGTAGTTCCAAAGGATCAGGATAAGACAGCGTTCCGTACAAAGCAGGGGTTGTACGAGTTCAAGGTCTTGCCATTCGGATTGACCAACACCCCAACAACATTCCAGACGCTCATGAATAGGGTGCTAGCAGAGTTCATCGGATCCTTCATTGTAGTCTAATAAGACCACAACCTAGTCTACTCCAAGATGCCAGAAGAGCACGTAGAGCACCTGCAGAAAATCTTTGAGGTCTTGCGAAAGGAGCAGTTGTACGCTAAGCAGTCAAAGTGCAGGTTGTTCCTTCCAGAGGTCGAGTTTCTAGGCCATATCATATCCGCTAGTGGCGTTAGGACTGACCCAAAGAAGATCGCTTCAGTGCAGCAGTGGACAACTCCTACCTCCATTGCTAGTCCACTTACCGACGTACTTTGTAAGGGCATCGAGTTCCATTTGTTAGAATGAGAACTGAATAATTGAGTAGAGAGAGAGTACAGGTGTTGTACCCTCTAAGAGATGGGCCTATACAGTCTATGCAAACATAGGAGATACACATGTTTGACACACCCCCTAGACTGCAGAGGGGCATGTCCTGAACAAGCAGCTCAGGGCGGCACTACTAGTCCAGCCTTTGAGACAAGGGTCTAAAAGACCAGTCAGAAGGAGTACAGACAAGGCAAGAACAAGGCCAGGGCGGCACTACTAGTCCAGCCACTGGGAGAGGACACAAGTCCAGTCTGAGTACACATATAAAGGACAGCACAAAGTCAAGGCCAAAGCAAGTGAGAGGCTACAGGAACTAGACCAAGCTGTACACAGTGCCGCTGATGATCTTTAGGCGCAAGCGCCTTCGTAAAGATATCAGCTGTGTTGGCACCTGAGGCCAAGTGTACTACCCAAGCCTGGCGTCGCTGCTGTAGCTCGCACAGGAGGAAGTACCGCAGCTGAATATGCGTTGCTCTGCCCTTGAGTCGAGGCTCCTGACACAGGAGGATCATGGCCCTGTTGTCAGCGAACAGGACCGGGGCAGAGTTAGGTCGCTCACCTAAGTCAGTGAGCAAGAAGGTCAGCCAGCGGAGCTCCTGTGCCGCCATGGCACCAGCGTAGATCTCGGCCTCACAGCTGGACTGGGCAACAGACGAGGAGCGGGTAGCTCTCCACGAGACGGCACCTGAACCAAGGCTGAAGCAGTAGCCCTGGGTAGACCTGAGTGTCTCGGCGTCGTCTGCCCACGAAGCGTCAGTGTGTCCAGTAAGGACCACTGGCCCACGTCCTCCTAGCACTAACCCCATGCCCGATGTACTAGCAAGATAACGCAAAACCCTCTTAGCAGCAGACCAGTGCTGCGGTCGGTGTCTGCCTGTGGCCACAAAGCGAGCCAGGATGCTGAGAGGGTATGTGAGATCTGGGCGAGTGCAAGTCGTCAGGTACATGAGGCAACCCACCAGCTCTGCGTAGGGGCCGCTGGGCTCTACCGACTCCTCAGAAATTGGAGCGGAGAGTCTGTGGTCTACAGGCAGAGGGGTGGGCTGTGCAGAGGAGAACTGAAGGCCGAACCTCTGAAGGACCTGGCGCACCAAGTGTGACTGAGTCAGGGTGATGGTGCACGATGCTCTGTCCCTGGAGATCTGCAAGCCAAGGTAATGGCGAAGTTCTCCAAGGTCAGTGCAGGTGTGTCTCTTCAGCAGCTCTGCCTTCACTGAGGCCAGTGCGTCCCTGTCTGCTGTGGCAAAGACCAGGGTGTCGACGTAAACAAGGATGTAGAACGGAGTCTGGCCAGCACGAACGAAGAGTGAGGGGTCTGCGAAAGACGGAAAGAACTGCAGGTCAGCAAGGGTAGCACGCAGCGTGTTGTGCCACTCACGGGGAGCCTGGCACAGGCCGTAGACGGGGCGCCGCAGGAGCCACTGGGTCCCAGGAGGGAAGGTGCCAGTAAAGCCCTGAGGGCGACGCAAGTAGACCTGCTCGTGTAGGCTGCCCTGAAGGAAGGCAGTGGAGAAGTCGAGGGAGTGAAGCTCGTAGTCACGCTGAGCAGCTAGGTGTAACAGAACCCGAAGAGTAGTCATCTTCGGGGTCGGAGCGAAGGTCTGGAAGAAATCCACCCCCTCATGCTGACTGAAGCCTCTAGCCATGTAGCGCGCCTTGAACACAGGCGGCTCTCCATGAGGGCGCTTCACCTTGAAGAGCCAGCAGCCATCGACTACGTTCACCCCAGGCGGGGGAACTGCGTCGACGAAGGTGCCGGTGGATCTCCAAGATGCCATCTCCTGCTCCATGGCAGCTATCCACTGCGAGGCCCAAGGTCCCGAGGTCGCCTCAGCGTAAGTGCGAGGGGTCGGGATGTCGAAAGCGTCTGGGTCACCCTCAGGGACTAGCAGCATGGAACAGAGATGGGGAGCAGCCTTGGAGAGGAAAGCAAGCTCGAACTGGCGGTCCTCCAGGACGTCACTGCCAAGGGCAGGAGCACCCCCGACAGACGGAGGACAGGCAGGGTCAGAGACCAGAGCAGTGGCGTAGTCAAGGCGGCGGGTAGAGGCGAAGTCAGCGACCGCAGCTACAAGAGCGTCAAGGCACGAGACCGGAACAAACGGGTCGGTAACGAGAGAGGCAAGGACCCGAGGAACAAGAGGACGAGCGGCACGAAGGTAGTCAGACAGCGGGGGGGGGTGCAACAAGAAGGGAGGACGGAGGAGGCGACGGGAGAAGGGGAGGACGAGACGCGTGGGAACGAAGCAACATAGGGTGGGAGCGCAAGACAGGGGAGGCAGGACGAGCACGGGAGGGACGGTGAGACCAGACGTGAGACGGAGGAGTCGGGTCAGGAGACAGGGGAGGGAACACAGGAGGGGAACGAGGGGGAAGACGAGCCGGGGATGAGTCCGGCAGAGGGAACACAGGGCCGTAGACGGGAAGAGGAGGAGACGGTCGGAGAGGAACAGACGCAGGGTCAGGGGACGGAAGGCCGAGCACGCGAAGGGCTGACACCGGCGGGGACTGCTGCTGCGGCGGCACAACGCCGACACCTGGACCGCAAGCTGCTCCTCGGCTACCACTGGCACACTCCACACCAGCACCCGCAGAGGGAACACCTCCAGGGCCCGAAACCCCTCGAGGACCGGTACCACCCCCAGGGCTACCGGGACTAGCACGCACTCCAATGC